CACTTCTTTAAAAGCCAGCTCAGATGTCTTGTCCTCTGTGAAGACTTTCCAGCTCCCCAAAGATGGCCGGACCCCCGGTTCCCTGAGCGCCATGGCAGTTTATTCGGAGTAATTCCATACCTGCTGGAGAAGAGAACGGCATGGCTGTCTCCAGGGCTCTGGTACAGCTCCCCTCACAAGGAGGAGAACTGTCCGTTTCCCTCTTCCCCTGGCAAGGATCTGACGAGGATTCCCAGGCACAGGATCTGGCACATAGCAGGTGCTCAGACAATGTTTGGTTAAGATTACTTTCAGCTTTAATTCTATGGGTCAAAAATGGCCTAAGTACTTTTCCACAACTCATCAGAACAGAGACCAAAAAAGTTGAGATTGCCAAGGATTCTCTGCTAAGTAATTCTCATCTTGTGATGAAGGCCATTTCTTCCTGCTCTGTGCTAAACCTGCATGTTATTGGTTCATGCTGGTAAGTGAATGCTGTTTCCATACTAGACCTGATATTTTTAGCACTCCTGTTATGATAAACTCACAGTAACCTCAAAAAGAACAAATCAAAGTCAACTTTTTGCCACAGGAAACCAGCTCACGCTTAATGTTTTGCAACATGCCATGGGAGAATAATAAAAAGATGAGACCTTTTGCTCACAGATGGTGAGGCCAACTCTCAAGATAGTGGAAAAATGCAGCAGGAAGCATGCAGTCTGGCCACTATCTTATGAAGTAAACTGGAAAAACACTCGACACCCAAACGAGGCAAACACACGTGCACATACCCCAGGGCAGCTGCTTTGCCAGAGGCCGAGTTGTGAACCGGGTGGTAAGAAAGCCCTCCGCGTGAGGGGCAGGCCGGGGCCACACAGGAATCAAGAGCCTGATGGGTGCCTAGAGGAGCCGGCAGGCAGAGAGCCCTGCAGGGACACCAGTGCGCAGGCTCCTCTCCCTCTAGAGCGGAGCAAATGCCCAGAGGAGCCAGAGCCAGTCACTTGGGCAAAAAAATATTTATTTACGGAGCACCTACTACGAGCACCTACTACGTGCCCCACAGGGCAACGGGAACACAATGTCGGGTTCCCTGAGAGGTCTTCTCAGGGGTGCATCACAGCCAAGCGAGCGCTGCATCACCACCAGGAACTTAAGGTGTCACGAGATGTGTAAGTCACCGTCCTAGGAAGACTCTTGGGAACGAATTCCAAGGACTGAGAAAAACTGCAAACAACTCGCATGGCCTTTTAAGAGGAAACCGGCCCCAAACAATGGGACACCCAAAGGAACACTACATCGCGCAGCCAGCAAGACACGTGAGGTCACTCTACATGTGCTCCAAGATCTTTCCAGATCACGTAAGGCCATCCGGCGAAAAAAAGCAAGCTGCCAAACAGCGTTTAAGAGTTTGGTTACATACACACATGCACCATTGTAACTGTTAACCATTTTCCAGGACGACGGGCGACAAATCCTTAATAGTAGTTTCCCTTACAAGTTGGAAGGGGTGTGGAAACAGGGAGGGCTTAACGAAGAAAATTTACTTTTTTACACCATTGGGAATTCTTTGAAAATTGTTTACTGTGATATTTTCCAACAAAAATAAAACTCAAGCGTTTCTTAGGGAAGGAAAACACTATCTGGGTCAGAATTCAGATCACTTCTGTACCTAATATATATTTAAACCAGGGTTTTTTGTACTGTAGCAGCGATCCTCTTTCCCTAAAAGGCAGAGCTCCAAACTTGAAATGTAACGAAATCACTTAGTTTGGAGGTGTATGTAACAGATGTGAAGAGCGGAGTCCTGGGTGAACCAGATCTCATGGTCTCAATCCTGGTTGCCTATAATACCAAGCATATGCCTGAGCAGGTCACAGCCATGCTCAAACTTGGTCTCCTTCAACAAAGCAGGACAACAACTATACTTAAAACAGCCAGGGCACTTGGGGGGCTCAGTTAGTTAAGCATCCGACTTTGGCTCAGGTCATGATCTCGAGGTTTAGGAGTTCAAGCCCCACATCAGGCTCTGTGCTGACAGCTCGGAGCCCGGAGCCTGCTTCGGATACTGTCTCCCTCTCAAAACTAAAAAAACATTTTTTAAAAATTAAAAAAAAAAAAAAAAAGAAAACAAACCCAAAACTTCTCAGTCCTCCTATTCAATATCTGATCAGAAAATGTTCTAGAAAAGAGTCAAAAGAGAATATTAAATAGTTTAGGAGCTGTGCTCCGGGCACTCACTCGTCTCTCCCTTTCACCATCTCTTTACCTTTCGGAGAGAGGAGGGAAGGCGGAGTTAGCCCCTAGCTCCCTTAACCCCGAGTCAGGAACCTAGATCTCAGGAACCTAGATCGAAAGCTCATGCACCAAAGGTCAAGCCAGGTGAAATAGGCGGGGAGCTGTGATCTGGGGCTCTGTTAGTCTCCAAAGCCTGTGCTTTTTCCAGGACATGAGACTGCATCAGCCCCTATTCAGGCTGTGCTTTTACTGCTATGGTTAGCAATCAAAACAGGCTGGGAAAAATAACGATTCCAATTAAAATTGAACTTGATGGGGCGCCTAGGTGGCTCATTCGGCTAAGAGTCCGACTTCGGCTCAGGTTATGATCTCGCGGTTAGTGGGTTCAAGCCCCACATTGGGCTCTGTGCTGACAGCTCAGAGCCCAGAGCCTGCCTTAGATTCTGTGTCTCCCTCTCTCTCTCAAAAATAAACAAAGAAAAAATTTTAAAAAGTAAATAAATGTGACATTATTCCAGAATAAAAAATTAAAAAGTTGTTAATTAAAAGTATAAAAATAATAAATGAAATACAAGCCACAAGTAGGAGCTCATACTTTACTGGATACACTGATTATTTAGACTGAGAAAAGATTTTAGAGACAGGCTGGCCAACTTCGTTTTCCCATTTTGTAAGCAAGGGGACAAAGTCCTGGAGAGGTACATTATGTGCCTGAGGTTACAAAGACAGCTGATGGCAAGTGTATCTGGCAGAAGGCAACCTCCCACGTAGAAGAAGCTGTTGCATTCTGCTGCATGAATCCAATGAGGTCAAATTATAGGATAATCATAGCTACGCGAATGGCCGGGCAGAAAGACTGAAAGAAGGGGCACCTGGGCGGCGGCTCAGTCAGTTAAAGCGTCTGACTGCAGCTCAGGTGATAATCTCATGGTTTGAATTCAAGCCCCGCATCAAGCTCTCTGCTGTCAGCACAGAGCCTGCTTCGGATTCTCTATTCCACTCCTCTGCCCCTCCCCAGCTCATGCTCTCTCTGGCTCTCTCTCTCTCAAATAAACTTTTAAAAATCAAAAGGGGCATCTGGGTGGCTCAATTGGAAAAGCATCCGACTTCAGCTCAGGTCATGATCTCATGGTTCGTGGTTTCGCATCGGGCTCTATGCTGACAGCCAGCTCAGAGCCTGGAGCCTGTCTTCGGATTCTGTGTCTCCTCCCTCTCTCTCTGACCCTCCCCTGCTCATGCTGTCTCTCTGTCGATCTCTCTCAAAAATAAATAAAACATTAACAAATTTTAAAATAATAATAAAGAAATAAAAAATAACAAAACCGAAATAAGTATTATTTCTCTGGCCGTAGATAAAGATGATACACTCACAGAGAGTCAGGTTCGTACCTACGGGTGGAGTGTTTTAAGCTGCTGGCATAACCAAGGAAAGAGATCACAAGGGCCATTTCCCTCTACTTCCAAAACTTTAGGCCAGCAGGCAGCAGAGGGCAATAATCAAGTATGCATTCTCAGAGAAGTTCTCAGAAGACTGACTGGTAGTTCCAGTTGCAGCTCTTCCAGAAAGCTCCATCAGAGCTCAGAGAGCAACTGAATGAACACAGCAGCAGGGATGTGCGCAGGGCACCACACGAGAAAGGTCAGAACCTGTCACCTGCTGCGGAGGGAAAGGCCCAGGAGAGGTGGCGACAGACCTCTAAGAACAGCCGGGAAGGGCCCAGTGTGTGGCGTGAAGGCACTTGCCCCCACAGTCAGGAGACCAAAGCGTGAGACCAGCACTACCTCTCCTTTGTTCGCTTACGCTCTCGTGTCACTCTGGACACTGCTAATGCCCCCTGGCGGGCAAAACCGCCTGCAGCTAAGAATCACCAGATTTCGGTAAACTCAAATACCAGAGGGCCACTTTTCTAAGCAGCAGTCAGAACCGCTGAGGTCACACCCCATGCCTTCGCAAATTAACGCCACTGTTTACTGAGGGCGTTCGATGTGCCAGGCACTGAGTGATCATTTCTCGTGACGGCACAGGGCCCGAGGTCACACTGAACCTGGAACCGGAGAGGGCACTACCTTGCTGCTCTGTCCCAGTCCAGGGAAGGAGGGATCTTCTGAGTCCTAGCAGACTCACACCTAACCCACCGGATGATTTTTCCATACAAACGGATGTTAAGTGCTCTGAACTAGTTCTTCCCAACCCCAATCTAGCTGACACTGCTGATTAATACAGGAAAAGCTTCGTTCCTGGCTATGAAAACATAAACCTCAGCCTTCTCTAATCTTCAACTTATTAGGGAAGTTTTATACAGCTTTATGTATTTCCATCTGAATCAATATGCACAGTGCCTATGGAGGGGGGGGTGAGGAGTTATGTGTAGCCGCACAAACAGCCACACCTGTTCTGACGTGGGGCGGGGGTAGGGGGCGGGGGGGGGGGGGGGGGGGGGCGGGTCCCTGGGGGTCCGCCCAGACAAACAGAAGGAAGGAGGTGGGGATGTGGCTCCTTATGCAGCCCCGGAGAAAGGCAGGCTGAAGACTGTCCAAATGCAACCAAAACTGTTTTTTGGTTTTTTTATATACAAATACAAACAACAGGATCTACCTCAGTGTCCCTGAGGATGGGTTAGGGTTAAGCAGACCTCAACAAGGGGCCTCATCTCCATCCATCTGAACGTTCTCACTGGCCACAGAGAGCCAGCTCGTGAGGAGCTCGACTTGGGGCAAACATCAAACCCCCTGGACTGAACGGCCAGGCGGAAAGCTGAGCACAGGGGGTCACCCGACGCTCTCACCTTGAAGGAGGAAGTAATCTGAAGTTGTGCGCTTCAGAGCTGCCTTGGCTTTATCACTGCTCCAGTCCACCTCCAGCGCTTCCTTGACAGAGCAGAAGACCACTTTCTGTTGAGAAAAGGCAAAGCTGGTTAGGAAGAAAAAATGTTGGCTTTAAATTGCAAGGCAGTAGCTCTTCACCTTCTAGGAGAAATGTAATTATTTAAGGTTTACTGTTTGTTAAAGGAAGCCGAGGACAACTCAAATCCAATAGTCGTTTATTAAGCACTTCCTGTGTGGCTCCTCTGGGCACTGGGACACGACAATGAGTGACATGTACTCCCTGAACTAAAAGAAGTCAGAGCAAAGCTACAGACCCAGTTTCACTCTGGCTGTCTTGAACTCCGGTTGTGTTCACACCTCAGACATACTTGCACAAGTGAGCAAGTGTATGTGCCTGAAGATATACAAGAAAATGTTCTTTGTAACAGTCAAAAGAAAAATTAAATGGGTCTCAGTAGAAAAATGGTTTGATGATAACAATACCAATAAATGACAGCAAGAAAAGCAAATAAGGGGTATGGAACGAAAGCGCCAGGCTGTGAGAATGGAAAAGGCATCTGCAAAAGCCCCAGGTTGAAGGAAGCATGCCTGAAACCTATTATGCTAAATGAAACGATCTTGAAAACTGCCATCACAGATTTACATTTTATTTTTTAAAATATTTTTATTTATTTCTAGGAGAGAGAGAGAGAGACAGCGTGAACAGGGGAGGGTCAGAGAGAGAGGGAGATACAGACTCTGAAACAGGCTCCAGGCTCTGAGCTGGCAGTCAGCACAAAGCCCGACATGGGGCTCGAACCCACGAACCGCGAGATCATGACCTAAGCAAAAGTCGGACGCTTAACTGACTAAGCCACTCAGGCGCCCCTACATTTTAAAATACATATAAACAATTAAATGAGTAAGAAAGTGGTTTTCCTTTTACTTTCCTGAATCATTCAGTCCAAAAGCCACGCTCTGGGACTGAGGAAGGGCAGAGAACAGTGTGTGTGTGGAGGGGCTGAGTGGTCTGACAAGTGGGGAACAGAGTAGAGCAAGGTGGGAGGGGCGGCACTGGGAGACTGACCCCCTCTAAGGGCTTAAGCAACAAGTGAATATCCGGGGAACCTAGGGTTCTCACTGTTAGAGAAGACAATCAGAATTGTGGAAAGGGAGGGGCGCCTGGGTGGCTCAGTCGGTTAAGCATTGGACTTCAGCCCAGGTCATGATCTCACGGTTCGTGGGTTCGAGCCCCGCGTCGGGCTCTGTGCTGACAGCTCAGGGGATGGAGCCTGTTTCAGATTCTGTGTCTCCCTCTCTCTCTGACCCTCCCCTGCTCACGCTGTCTCTCTTATCAGAAATAAATAAAACATTAAAAAAAAAAAAGAATTGTGGAAAGGGAAAAAATGAGAATAAAGCCTGTGGTGGGTTACACAGACAAACAAGTAAATGTAGATGCAAGCACGCCTGTGTACACATACAAGTACAGTGAAGCCTCGGACTGCATGTAAGCTCTTCTGCGAGTGTTCCACAGGACAAACAAACATTTCTAATAAATTTTAACTTGACCAGGGGCGCGTGGGTGGCTCAGTCAGTTAAGTGTCCAACTTCCACTCAAGTCATGATCTCACGGTTGTGGGTTTGAGCCCTGCGTCAGGCTGTGTGCTGACAACTAGCTCAGAGTCTGGAGCCTGCTTCGGATTCTGTGTCTCCCTCTCTCTCTGACCCTCCCCTGCTCACACTGTCTGTCTCTCACTCTCTCTCAGAAATGAAACATCAAAAAAAGGTTTTTAAATAGAAATTTTAACTTGATCAATGAATGATCTCTTGCAATACGAGTAGTCCGTGACGTCAAATGTCAAATGATCACAACTGAGCCAATGGTTCTTCAAATTCGTATTGATATACAAGTGCTTTGGATTACAAGCGTGTTTCGGGAATAAATCATGCTCACAAACCAAAGTCTGACGGAGCTACGTCCACAGAGCGACGATGACCTGATAGCAGTGAGCACACGTAACAGCCAGATGGTTTCTAATCCCCACAGAGGGCCACAGTTCCCTTTGGAAAAATGGCTGATCTCAAAGCTGGGGCAGAGAGAGTATGAGAGGAGCTCATGCGCTTGAACAAAGAAGTGTGCGAAGAATGATAGGGAGGTATCAAGAGGAAACAGGAGCCAACGTGAAGGAGCCCCCACTGGTCAAATCTGGAACAGTTTGTGGAAAAAAAATAGTAACAGATTATAACACTTAAAATAAACTAGAATTCGTTAGTCATAAATCTAAAATTAACTAAGTACTGCGACCCCCGCACCTCTGCGAACGCGGCACTATGAGTGATGCGGAGCACATGGCCTTTAGCCTCCGTGCCCTCCGCACCCCTCCTGCCGTGACCCTGGGGGCTAAGGGCAGGCATGGGCTCTGCTCCGCTCTCCCTGCCTAAGCTCAGACAAACACGAATGGGTAACAAAAGAAAACGGTATTCGAACAATGAGAATCAGCAATTTTGCACATAACTGCAGCCTGCCTGAGGTCGAACACACAGAGGAGTAAAAGTGCTTTGGAAAAGGTGAAAGCTGCTAGTGATGGCTATTCAGGAGAAGTAACTGAAATTAGTGAAGGTCTTGCAGAAAATTCAGGACTTGTCAACAAACCTTATGAGGATGGTTGGCTGATCAAGAGAACACTCAGTAAATCCTTCAGAACTGGATGAACTAATGAGTGAAGAAACATATGAGAAACACATAAAATCTACTTAGGAATAAAAATGGAACCCCTAAATTAATTGGCATGAAACAAAAATAAAATAAAAGCAGTTAATAAAGTTTGATGAAGAATAAGGTATTTATATATTTCCAAAATCTCTCTCCAAAACTTGTATATTATTGCACGGAGCAAAGAGGAATTGCTTTCAAAGGAGAAATGCACTGTGAATAATCCTACTCAAATGAGCAAAGTCACCACTGCCAGTAAAGGAGCACGTGGAGACCAGCGCGGGACCACAAGGCGAGATGAGAGGCACCCACGCTCTGGTGTTTGTGCCCACGGTGTGCAGCTGGAGTCTAATCAGGAGGGAACCTCAGACAAACCCAAACTAAGGCACATTTTACATTTTTACAAAACAACTGACCTGTAACCTTCAAAACCATCGTGAAAATCTAGATGCACGCATGACCCTGAACTGGATTCTTTTGTCACTAAGGACATGAGTGGAATAACTGGTAAGAGCTGAATAGGGTCTGCGGCAGATGGTGGGGATGCAGCCATGTGAATTTTCTGATTTTGAAGGTTGGTTTGATTTCTCTATGGAGAATGCCCTGTTTGAGAAAATACAAACTGAAGTATTTTGGAGTGATGGATGGACCCCTTACTCTCAAAATGGTTCAGAAAAAAATGGTTCTCAGTACTATTTTTATGAAGTTTGAGATGGTATGTACGTATATTAAGTAATTTCAAACTTCCAGAGGTATCGGTCTCTTTTTCTCCTTCCTTCTCTCACTACATATACATACCACACACCACATATTTAAAAAAAGAAAAGAGATACAGTATAATTTAGAAGGCTAAGTGAACCGATGTCTATCTGCTCCTAGGCAGTTGACATGATTTGCTAAGAATGAAAATGGAACTGACATGAAAGTTCAAATAACTAGTGAAGATGAAACAGGTATTTAAAAAATTGTTAATGTGGGGCACCTGGGTGCTCAGTCAGTTAAGCGTCCGACTTCGGCTCAGGTCATGATTTCAGTTCGTTGGGTTCAAGCCCCGCGTCGGGCTCTGTGCTGACTGCCAGCTCAGAGCCTGGAGCCTGTTTCAGAGTCTGTATCTCCCTCTCTCTCTGACTCTCCCTTGCTCACACTGTCTCTCTCTTTTTCAAAAATAAAATATTAAAACAAATTTTTAAAAACTGTTAATGTTTATTTTTGAGAAAAAGAGAGACAGAGAAAGTATATGCAGGGGAGCGGGGGGCAGACAGAGGATCCAAAGCATCTGTGCTGACAGCAGAGAGCCCGATGCAGGGCTCCCACTCATGAACTGCGGGACCACGACCTGAGCCAAAGTCAGAGGCTCACCAATGGAGCCACCCAGGTGCCCCACCCAGGTGCCCTTGAAACAGTCAGTTTTTAAAGTGGCTTTCTGCTTCCCCCATAAATACTCCTTTGGAGTTTAAACCCACTGTAAAAGTCAGTATACAAAACATTTGTCCTGTCCTCAAACCTTTTGGTCAGTGGGTCTGTTTGACCTCAAAACTCAAGTCAAATAGCCAGCTGACTGACGTTTATTGCCTGATACAGGCAGCCAAACCCTTCCTAAGTCTTATACAACAATAAAGCCAGCAGCAGTATGGTGTGGGAACGTCCTCACAATGATGACATAAACTCTCACTAGGTTTCATAAACTACCTAGACTTTAATTCAGAATTTTTGTACTTTGCCTGGCTAAGAATCCACTGATTCGTCAGGTCACGTAATGACAAATAAGGGGAAAAAGCTGTGTTTCAGAGTCTTAGTCCCAGGCAGGCCTACCTCTAAACATTCAGGGCCTAGGTTTTGTAAAAGTACAAATGGAAAACCATATCACAACTACATATTAGGTATAAATCACACTAACAAAAAAATAAAGTATATTGTATTCTCCTGCCTTGACAAACATACGTGCTTCATTACCACCTGGAAAACAGGGTTCGAATGTGGAATTCTCACACTCCTTGGGAGTTGATGCCAGAATGAGGTGCACTGGAAAGCGGGTCCTCAGCCTTTCGCCCTCTCCCCACCTCCGGCTCTGTCCCACAGGGCTAGAGGCCGAGCAGCTTGGGTGTGGCCACCCCAGGCCATCTTTCTTGACTAAGACATCCGCCCTCAGGCCTAGGTGTCCGGGACACTGTGACAAAGTTTGCACTCAGCAGGCAGAGCAGGGAAGAGGTCCACCAAAGCCCGGGAGGGAAGCTGAGGGCTGTTTGGCAGGAGATTCCAGGGGTCCCAAGTGTCCACAAGGGAGTCTAGGACTGGGGGGGTGGTTTCCAGATGGACAATCTCCTTAATCCCATGGAATTCTTACTCTACTAGGGGAACGGCCGGAAGGAGCCCA